TTTTTTTAATACGTGGAGGAAATCTTCCGAAGACACCTCCCGCCCCCCTGGGGAGGGGCAGGAGGTAGTGTGGGATTTCTACCCACTAAAACCTCCACGGTGACCTGCACTGGGCTGCAGGGAGGGCCCCGGGACCTCTTACGAACACTCCGGGACCCCCCCGCCCTTGGCGCGACTGCGCCCCATCTCGGGGGAGGGTCTAACCTTTGACCCTCCCCCATACGTGCCAACTCCGCCGACGTCGGGGGTCACACCCGACGCCGGCTACTCCTCGGACCGCGTGCAATGACGACCGGGGCCCCAGCCCCGGCCGCCTGCGGCCCGGCGGCCCCGCACCATGCTTGCGGGGCCGCCATATCCTTTGATGGGGAGAGGGCAAATCCCTCTCCCCGTCTCCTCCTCTTCAGGGGAAGGCTGGCGCCTCCCCCTAGTCCTCTTCGGGGGAGCCGATGCTCCCCCATCCTCTTCTATCGGTGGGGGCGGTGGGCCTGGTATGTAATAGCTTCACGGCCCACCGCCCCGTCCGCCTTATCTGCTGTTGGCGCCGTCGGGAGGCCTACCCCAGGTCCGTGGAACCTTTTTTTTTTTTTTTTTTTTTTATCGTGGGGAAATCTTCGACAAGACGCCCCGCCCCCCCTGGGGGGAGGTGACGGGGTAGTGCCGGATTTCTACCGGCTAAAACCCCACGGCGACCTCCTCGGGCGTTGTGGAGAGGCTCCGGGACCTGAGTGATATTTCTCCGGAGCCTCCCCCGCCTCGCGCCGAAGCGCCCGTCTCGGAGGGGAGTCGAAAGGACTCCCCTCTGCCGACACCGGGGGTCGCACCCGATGTCGGCTCCATCTCGGGGGACTGCGTGCAATGACGCCTGGGCCCCCAGCCCAGGACACCTGCAGTCCCCGCGCCTCGATCTCCCTACGCGGACTGCGAAGAGGAACGAGGAACGACCCCCCGCCCACCCCGCGCGGTAGACCGGGCGCTGACCGCGCCTCGCCAGCTTCCGGTGCCGGCTTCACCACGGGTCCGCGTGCAATGACGCCCCAGCGGGGCGCCTGCGGCCCGCCGAGTCGTCCCCCTGAGGGCTGCGGTGGGCTGTGGTCAGCCACCCTACAGAGGGACTCCTCGGCTTCACTTCGTCCCTCCCCCACAGTGTGGGAGGGCGGCAACTCCCTTTGTGGGAGGGACACCCCACTCTCCGCCCGGAGTCACCCGGCCCCCCAGAGACAGGCGGAGAGGGCCCCCGATTGGTAACGGGTTCCCTCCCCGCCCGCCCCCAGGTCCGACCGGGGTCCGGGCTCGTTTCGTCCAGGGCGGGAGGGTCACCACGACCCCTCCCACCCCCCCCTTCACCAGTCCCCTACCCGCATCCGTCGCGCCGGGGGGGCAACGGCGATCGGCGCCGTCAACCCCCCCGGATCCCTTAGGGCGGCGGGTCCCGCCGGCGCCGCGGTTGGCGCCGGCCTCTTCTCCGAGCGGGATCGCTCCTTTCGCGATCCCGCTCGGCCCTCTCCTTCAGGGCGATGACCTCCTCGCAATAGGAGATCACCGCCCTCCACCTCGTCTCGCCGGCGAGCATCTGTCTTACGACGCTCGCCGGCGAGAGGTCTTGCCCCACCTCCACACGCAGGGCGTGGCGGGCCAACTCAAACACAGGGCACACCTCGAGGGTGTGCTGTGCGGTGTCCCGCCCCGCCCCGCAGTGCCAACACTTCGGTGTTGGCTCCCTCCCGATCCGGCACAGGTACTCCCCGAAACACCCATGTCCGGAGAGCACCTGTGTGGCCCGGAATGTCAGGGCGCCAAAGCCGCGATCCCGCCACTCTGACAGCACCGGCAGGACCGCCCCGACGGTGCGGTTTCCGGCGGCCACCCCCTGAAGGGAGATGCGCCACCTTTCCACCGCGACCAGTCGGGCCCGGCCCCGATACTCCTCGACCGTAGGCCCCGGCGGGTCCTCCCCGGCCTGACGGAGGGCTCTCGAGTACCAGTAGGTACTGGCCTCGACCCCCGCCAGGTACCGGAAAGGTACGAAACCCGCCAGGACCATCGCCGCCGCGTAGGAAATCGTGCGGTATCCCCGCACGACCCTGACGGCGAGCCGGCGCTCCACCTGCTGCAAAACATTGCAGCTGCGCCTGCTCGCCGCCAGATCGCCGGCCCATATCGGTGCCCCGTACAGGGCTACGGACCGGACGATTCCCGCGTAGAGGCGGCGAACCCTCACACCCGGCCCCCCGAGGTTGGGTAAAAGGCGGCCAAGAGCGGCCGCCACCCTATCCAATCGGGGAGCCAGACGGTCGAAGTGCGTATCGAACCGCCAGTGGCTATCGAGATACAGACCGAGGTATCGGAGACCTCGGCCGATCTCGATCCGGCACCCTCCTACCCCGAGCCAGAGCCCGGTCGGAGGGGCTACCCCACGTCGAGGCTCGAAGAACCACATAGCCTCGGTCTTGTGGGGAGCCAGCTCCAGACCCAACTCCCGGATCGCGTCATGGACGCGTGCCACCGCATCCTCGGCACGGCGGCTGGTCCGCTCCCAGTCCCGCCCGGTGGCCAGAATGAAATAATCATCTGCGAAGATAGTTGACCACACCCCGGGCGGGAGATCCACCTCCTGGGTCGGGTTGTATCCCAGGTTCCATAGGGGAGGACCCATTTTGGAACCCTGGGGCACCCCGCGGTCCACTTCCCTCCAATGCACTGTACCGTCCCGGCCCACGTAGCAAATCCACCTGCCGTCCAGGAAGGCCCCGATTATCCCCCGCAGATACGGGGGGACGTTGTGACGAACCAACGCCCCCCGTATCGCCCCATGGGGCAGGGTGTTGAACGCATTGGTCACATCCAACGAGACGCCAAGCGCCACCCCGCCCCGGGACGTGGCCCACTCCGCGAGGGTGCGCACCCGCTGAATGGCGTCGATGGTGCTGCGACCCTCGCGAAACCCGAACTGGGTGTCGGCCAGATCGGGACCCACGCTCGACAGGTGGTGGGCGAGGCGTTCGGCAATAATATGCTCGAAGAGCTTGCCCACCTCGTCCAACAGCACGATGGGCCGGTACGCGGAGGGGGAGTCCGCGGGCCGACCTTCTTTGCGAAGCAGAACCAGCCGCCCCTCCTTCCACAACGCGGGAAAAACTCCCCGTTCCAACGCGGCGCTAAAGAGGCGGATCAACCTCGGACCCAGGACCCCCGACGCGATGACCCAGGCACGGCCGGGTATACCATCAGGGCCCGGAGCGGTGTTTTTCGCCCCGAGCTTCTTGATGGCCCCGGCGAGTTCCCCCTCGGTGACCTCCAAATCGGCGGACCAGGCGACTGGCTCCGCCGGCTGCTCGCGCGGGCGTGGCTCCTCCTCCGATCGGGGAAAGAGGGTGTCCACCACCCGCCCGAGCAATTCGGGGTCCAGGCTCTCCGACACCGGGGGCGCCCATGGGCGAAGCTTGCCCATCACCATGCGGTACGGACGCCCCCAGGGATCCTTGTCGAGAGAGCCCTGGAGCTCCTTCCGTGCCCGGGACTTCGCGTCCCTGATGGCCTGCCTCAGGGCCGCTACGAAGACCCGGTACGTGCCCCTCAGCAATTCCTCCCTCGCCGGGTCGCGGACCCGTACCCTTCGGGCGCGCTGCCACTGGCGCCGGGCGTGCTGACATTCGGACCGAATGTCCTCAATGTCGCCCGACCACCAGTACACCGCCCTCCGGGGGGGCAGACGAGAGGCCCGGGGCATGGCGGTGTCGCAGATTGCGGTCATCGCCCCCCGGAACCACTCAGCCTCCCCCTCAATGTCCGCGACAGGCCCGGCCGGAAGAGGTGGCCAGGCCACGACGAGGGCCGCTGCCATCAGCAGGTCCTTGTCCATCCGCCTCAGCACCCAGCGACGCGGTGGTGCGCCACGCGTCGGGCGGCAGGAGGTGGGGAGAGAGACGCTGAACCGGATATACCGGTGGTCACTCAACGTCTCCCTCATCGCCACTCTCCAACCCCGCACCCTGCGCCCGATCCCAGGGGACGCCCAACTTAAATCCACAATGGACTCCCCCTGGGCCCGAACGCAGGTGCTGGCGGAGCCCCTGTTCAGAAGCAGGAGCCCCACGCTTGCCGCCCAATCGAGCACCGCCCTGCCCCTCACGTCGGTCCTCGGGGACCCCCAGGCTTCGGCTTTGGAGTTAAAGTCCCCGAGGACCAGTGCCTGCCGGGCGGGGAAGCTGGAGATGAAGCTCCCCACCCGGTCTAGGCACTCCTCGAACTCGAGGCGGGTCCAGCTAGGCGGTGCGTAAACGCCCACCACCGCGACGCCCCCCCAGTCGACCCCGACGAACCCCCGCCCCCTCACCAGTACGTCGGCGGGCGGGGGAAACCGCGTCCCTCCCAGGACGATGGCGACGGAGCCCCCCTCGTCCGCGAACCAGTCATGCCGGTCCGGGACTCGGTGCGGCTCCGCCACCACCGCGACCTCGATCTTCCACTCGGCCAGGGTTTGGACCAGAAGGTCCTGTGCCCCGACCGAGTGGTTGACATTTGCCTGCAGGAATGGACCCCTAGGCCCCATTGGAGGTGTCCATTCCTGCGGCCTCCACCGCTGCTCCCTCGTTGCTGGGGCCCGCTGCCCCAGTCGACGAAGCAGCCGACTGCTTCGTGCCCGTCCTCGCCGTCGGCGCCTTCACCGCCGCGCGCTTCTTCCCCCCTTTGTTGGAGGAGACCGAGGGGCATCCCCTGGCCCCCATCCTGTGCCCCGCGGGCCGCCCTGAATCAGTACACAGGGGGCACCGCGGAGGGGCCGTGCAGGCGCTGGCCCGATGGTTAGGATCGCCGCAATTAAAGCAGCGATCCGACCGATCGACCCCGCAGGGGCACCGCTGCCTGACATGACCCGTCTCCAGGCAGCGGTAACACTGCAGGGGGCGAGCCGCCAGCGCCTCGACCCGTGGTGAGGACCACCCCACCCTCAGCCTCCCCGCGCCGACCAGCTTATTGGCCGCGACAAGGGGGCATCTTACCCACACCCTCCCCAAACCGCGGGGCGGGGTGCGGATCTCCCCTAACCTCACTTCTGCGGCGGCGCAACCGCCGGCGGTTGCTACCGCGGCCGCCACCTCATCGCGGGTGACGGAGTCGTCAAGCCCGCAGATGCGGACCTCCCCCATCTTGACGGGACACGCCACCTTAACCCCCTCCACACCGCTGAACACGGCTTGGAGGCGGCTAGCCAGGGCCGCCGCCTTGGCCGCCCTCTCTGTCCCGGCGATCTCCAAGACGAGGCCACCCGTGGCCGCGCGCCTAGGTCGGAGATCGGTGATCCCGATCTCCGCGAGGTCGACCTCCTGCCTGGCGCGAAGCATGGCCTCGCTGCAGGAGGTCTTTGATCCCGACGCGACCGTCAGGGTGACCGCAGACGTCTTGGGAGGGCGGGCCAGGCGGGGCTTTTTCGCCACATTCCTGGCTCCCTTCTCCCCCGATGACCCCTCCCTCCTCGCGGCTGGTGGATTGGTCGTCCCGGCCGCCATCTTCTTCGTTGGCGGTTTCTTTGCCGTGGTTTGAGGGGGGGCCGTAACCCCCTCCTTCCTCTTCACCACTTCGGCCTTTTTGGCCTTGCGGCCGACGACCTTGGCCCATTCCTCAGTGGCCGCTCGGTGGTCCCGTTGGACTTGGGCCATCCGTTGTTCGACGAAGGAACCGGAGGGAGCCGCGGGTCGGGCAGACGCTGCTGCCCCCGCCGATTCCAACCTCGTCTTCTGGGGCTGGGCTGCCCCCTTCGTCGGCCTCGTCGGTTGTTTTCCCTTCCTCCCAGCTGTCGCGGGAGCGGAGGGAGGGGGAACCCCAGCGGCGCCCGCGGGGGTCCGGAGCCGGGCTAGCTCCCCAGCGAACTCCCTCCTGAGCTCAGCTGCGCTCCGCGCGACGAGCGCCGCGATGCCCTCCATGAGCGCAGCCGTCTCCGGTGCCCCGGCCCTCGCGGGCACCGCGGGGTCCGCGCGCTCGACAGGGCCACCCCCAACCCGCCCGCCGGCCTCCCCGAGGGGCGACGGCGGAGGTCCGTGGAACCTAACCTAACCTAACCTAACCTAACCTAACCTAACCTAACCTAACCTAACCTAACCCTAACCTAACCTAACCCTAACCTAACCTTTTTTTTTTTTTTTTTTTTTTTTTTTTTTTTAATACGTGGAGGAAATCTTCCGAAGACACCTCCCGCCCCCCTGGGGAGGGGCAGGAGGTAGTGTGGGATTTCTACCCACTAAAACCTCCACGGTGACCTGCACTGGGCTGCAGGGAGGGCCCCGGGACCTCTTACGAACACTCCGGGACCCCCCCGCCCTTGGCGCGACTGCGCCCCATCTCGGGGGAGGGTCTAACCTTTGACCCTCCCCCATACGTGCCAACTCCGCCGACGTCGGGGGTCACACCCGACGCCGGCTACTCCTCGGACCGCGTGCAATGACGACCGGGGCCCCAGCCCCGGCCGCCTGCGGCCCGGCGGCCCCGCACCATGCTTGCGGGGCCGCCATATCCTTTGATGGGGAGAGGGCAAATCCCTCTCCCCGTCTCCTCCTCTTCAGGGGAAGGCTGGCGCCTCCCCCTAGTCCTCTTCGGGGGAGCCGATGCTCCCCCATCCTCTTCTATCGGTGGGGGCGGTGGGCCTGGTATGTAATAGCTTCACGGCCCACCGCCCCGTCCGCCTTATCTGCTGTTGGCGCCGTCGGGAGGCCTACCCCGACGGCGCGTCCTCCTGCGGGCGGGGTCAGCTCTCTCCCGACCCCGCTCCGCTTCCTCCTTAAGGGCGATGACCTCCTCACAGAATGAGGTCACCGCCCGCCACTGATCCTCGCCGGAAAGCATGGCTCTCACTACCGCCTCCGGCGAGAGATCAGGGCCCACCTCGCACTCCAGGGCGTGACGGGCCCGCGCAAACACTGGGCAATGCTGCAGTGTGTGCTGCGCGGAGTCCCGCCCCGCCCCGCAGTGGTGGCATATCGGCGTCGCCTCGCGACCTATCCGGCACAGGTAGTCACCGAAGCAGCCGTGCCCGGTGAGTACCTGCGTGGTCCGGTAGGTGACCCTTCCGAAGCCGCGGTCCCGCCATTCGTTGATAACCGGCAGGACCGCCCCGACCGCTCGCTGGCCGGCTTCGCCGCTCTGGATGAGCTCGCGGCGCCACCGGTCCAGGGCATTTTGCCGGGCCTGGTGCCTCCACTCCTGCTCGACCGTCGGCTCTGGCGGTGCCTCGCCCGTCTGGCGGTGGCCGCGCAAGCGCCAATACAACGTGGCGCCGGCCTCCGCCTCGTGCTTAAAAGGCACGACACCCGCCAGAGCCATCGCCGCCGCGTGGGAGACCGTGCGGTACCCCCTCACGACCCTGATGGCCATCGTCCTCTCTACCCGCCGCAGCACAGCTTGACTGCGACGGGACGCCATCAGGGCCTGGGCCCATATCGGCGACCCATAAAGGGCCATACTCCGCACGATCCCCGTGTAGAGGCGGCGAATCTTCTCGCTAGGCCCCCCGATGTTGGGCAATATCTGCCCGAGGGCGTTTGTTGCCCTTTCCAATTGGGGGGCCAGACGGTCGAAATGATCCTCGAAGCACCAGTGGCTGTCCAGGTGGAGGCCCAAGTACTTGAAGCCCTTGCCCACCTGGACTCTTGTGTCACCTACCCGGATCCAAGACTGGGGCGGTGGCGCGACCCCACGCCGAGGCGAGTAATGCCACATCGCCTCGGTTTTGTGGGGTGCTAACTGAAGCCCCAGCCTCCGGATGGTCGCTGCGACGGCAGCCACACCTATCTCCATAAGACGACTGGTCCTGCTCCAGTCCCGGTCGGTGGCAAAGATGTGGGTGTCGTCACAGTAACACCGCACACTTACCCCGTCCGGGACGGCGACCCACAGAGTCTTGTTGTACCCCAGGATCCACAGCGGCGGTCCCAAACGGGACCCCTGGGGTACACCCCTCTCGACGCCCCTCGTGTATATGCGTTCGTCCCGGCCCACATACATAATGTACCTATCCCATAGGTAGTGCCCTATGATCCTCGTCAGGTATGGGGGCGCTTCGTGATCGTTTAGCGCCCCCATTATCGTCCCGTGGGGCAGGGTGTTAAAGGCGTTCACTATGTCTAGTGAAACGCCCATCCCCACCCCGCCCCTGGACGTGGCCGAGTCGCAACAGGAGCGCAGCGAGTGAATTGCATCGATGGTGCTGCGCCCCTGTCTAAAGCCAAACTGCGACTCGGCCAGATCAGGGCCCACCAGGGATAGGTGCCGGGCGAGGCGGTCAGCTATCACCGCTTCGAACAGCTTCCCGACCTCGTCCAGCAAAACAATGGGCCGGTACGCAGAGGGGCTCTCTGCGGGCCGTCCTTCCTTCTTCAGCAGGACCAGTCGTCCCACCTTCCACTCCCTAGGGAATGTCCCCTCCTTCAGACAGGCGCTGAAGAGGCGCCTCAATCGCGGTCCAAGGACGCGCAGGGCCAATACCCAGGCTCGGCCGGGGATGCCGTCTGGGCCCGGAGCGGTGTTCCGGGCCGCCATACGTTTGATTGCCCCGGCCAGCTCCTCCTCCGTGACCCCCATTTCGTCGGTCCATTCGACTTGGACCGGCGCGGGGCAGGGGTGGTCGCCCTCGCCACGAGGGAATAACGTGTCCACCACCTGCCCCAGGAACTGGGGATCGAGGCTCTCCGTCACGGGCGGCGCCCTGGGCCTTAGTTTACTCATGGCCCATCTGTAAGGGCGCCCCCACGGATCCTTCTCCAGAGAGCCGAGGAGCTCTTGCCACGCCCGGGATTTGGCCTCTCTGATGGCCTGCTGCAGGGTTACCACTAGCACCCTGTAGCACCCGTACAGCGTTTCCTCCCTCGCTGGGTCGCGGTTCCTTCTCCGACGGGCTCTTTGCCACTGGCGTCGGGCGACGTTACAGTTACGCCAGATGTCGGCGATTTCGCCCGACCACCAATAGGCGGCCCGTCTGGGGAGGCATTTGGCCCGGGGCATGGCAACATCGCATATTGCTTTCATCGTGCCCCGGAACCACTCCACTTCCTCCCCGATATCCGCGACCGGCCCGGCCGGTTGCTCCGGCCAGGTCACAGCGAGGGCTGCGGCCATCAGCGCGTCCCTATCCAGCCTCTTCAGCGCCCATCTCAGCGGTGGCGGGCCACTCGCCGGGCGGCGGTTGGTGGTGGAGTGAAATTCGAGGCGGATGTATCTGTGGTCGCTGAGCGACTCCGCCTCCTCCACCACCCTCCAACTCTGCACCATACGCACCGCCGAGGGAGTCGCGAAAGAGAGATCGACTATCGACTCCCCCTGTGCACGTACGCAGGTGCTAACAGAGCCCCGGTTCAGCAACCGGAGCTCATTTTCCGCCGCCCAGTCGAGCACCGCCTCACCCCTCGCGTCTGTCCTCGGGGACCCCCACGATTTTGCGTGGGAGTTAAAATCCCCGAGAACGAGTGCCGGCCGGGGGTAGCAACGGGAGATCACATCTCCCACCCGGCCTAGGCACTCTTCGAATGACGCGAGGGATAGGCTGGGCGGACAATACATGCCCACCACCGCTATTTCTCCCCACTGCACCGCTACGTAGCCCCGCCCCCGTTCCATTAGTGTTGGGGGCGGGGAAAACGCGGTGCCAATCACGGCCACGGAGCCGACCTCGTCCCCGAACCAGTCGTGTCTATCGGGGACCCTGTACGGCTCCGCGGCCACCGCCAATCCTACTTTCCACTCGGCCAGGTGGTGCAATAATAGGTCTTGCGCCCTGGCCGAGTGGTTCAGATTACTCTGAAGTATGGGCCCTTTGGGCCCCATTACTTTTTAGAGGCTGCCGCCTCCGCGGCTTTACCTCTCCTTGGGGTGGCAGATCTGCCACCCCTCCTCTTCTTTGGCGCAGCAGCCTCAGCTGGCTGCTGCTGCGCCTGTTGGGGGGGTGCTACTTCCCCCTGCTTGGCGCCCTTCTTCTTCTGCCTCTGGGATTTGGGGGCACACGACTTTGCCCCCAACCGGTGCCCCGCGGGTCGCCCCAGATCTGTGCATAGGGGGCACCGCGGTGTGGCGCTGCACGAGCTGGCCTTATGGCCCGACTCGCCGCAAACGTAGCAGCGGTCGGACCTGTCCACCTCGCAGGTGCATCGCTGCCTCACGTGGCCTTTCTCGAGGCAGCGGAAGCACTGCAAAGGCCTTGCCGGCAGCGCCTCGACCCTGGCTGACGACCAGCCAACCAGGATCCTCCCAGAGGCGACGATCTTGCCGAGCGCCGTCAGGGGGCACCTCGCCCAGACTGTCCCCAGCCTGGCCGGGGAGATCCTAATTTCCCCGACCTTCACTTCTGCTGGGGTACAGCCTCCAACAGCCGCAAGGGCGGCTGTAACATCCGCAGGGGACACCGAGTCATCCAAACCGGATACTCGTACCTCGCCCATTTTGACTGGGCGAGATACCCGGACCTCGGTGCCCCGAAACACCCCCTGGAGGCAACCCTCCAACGCGGTCGCCTTATCCGTCCGCCCCTCTCCTGGAATCTCCAGGACCAGGCCGCCTGTTACCGCCCGTCGTGGTCGAATCTCGGTTATACCGATGGTCTTCAGATCGACCTTTTCGCGGGCGGTGGCCATCACCTCTGCATACGTGACCTTGGCATCTGGTGCCAAGGTCAGGGTGACGGCCGCTGTCTTCGGCGGCCTGGCAGGCTTCGCCTTTTTCGCGGCGGGGGCAGGCGCTTTCTTGGGGGGCGCCTTAGTTCCCTGTTGCCCCCTCTTCGCCGCTGGTCCGCCGGTTGTTGGTGGTGGCCCCTCCTGTTTTTGGGACCTCTTCGCCTTGCGGCCCACCACCGTTGCCCATGTTTCCCCCTGGGCGGCGAGGCGGGTCTCTTTCTGGATGCCCCGCATCCTCGCCTCCAGAGGCGACTCCTTTGTTCCAGCCTGGGGTGTGGCCTTCACCTGCCGCTCACCCCCAGGCTTGGGCTTCGGGGCGGTCTTAGCCCCTCCAGCCCTCTCCTCCTTCTTTGGGGGCGGGTTCTCCCTACCTTTGGCCGAGAGGACCCCCATGAATTCCTCCCTGAGAGAGGAGACCTGTTGCATCAGGGCGGCTATGCACACCCTTATGTCCCCTCCCTCAGGGTCTACCTTCTCCACCCGTCTAATCTTGGGCACGCTCTTGATTGGGGCGGGTGGTTCCATCTCCATCCACGAGGGCCCTGCCACTGGTTCTGACAGGGCCCCCTCGTCAGGCCGGCTCCTCTTGTTTGCCCCCACTCGTTCCAAGAACGGGGAGGCCGATCTAATGGGCCTCTCCGCATGAGCTGGGGCCATAAAGATTGGGGCCTCGACGGCTCCCAAGCGAGCTTTCACCTCCGCGAGCTCTCTGCTAAGGTTGAGCGTCTGCTCAACCTGCTTCGCCAGCTGCTCGTCGCGGAGGCGTAGCTGACGCCTCAGCTCAGCCACCTCGTCCGCTGCGTTGTCCAGCGCTCCCCTCTTGGCCATCTCGACGTTGATGGCCCTGATGCGCCGGGCGGCTACTCGAAGGGACCTTTGGCACGTGCCCTTCAGGCCCTTCGAGATGGAGGCGACCCTCTCCACGTCGTCCGTGAGTTCTAGGGACTGGGCCGCCAGCGCGGCCATCGGCTCGTAGCGGAGCTCCCTCTCCAGCTCCTCCTGCTCTGGCAGAGGGATGCTGCTCTTGCTTGAAGGGCGGGGCGGAAGGGAGCGGTCCAGAGATCGCTCCTCAGCGTGCAGCTCCAACTCCTTGCGCTTCGCCTCCACCAGCCGCTCCTTGGCCTTAGCCAGGCCGACGTACTCGCCGGTGGTAGGCGGTCTTCCCCTCCTGGTTGTGGGCCTGTCGAGCGAGACGACGGATGCGGATGCGATAGACTCATCAGAGTCATCCCCGCTTTCGCAGGCAGGAGTTCCCCTCCCCGATACCGAGGAACACCTACTCCCACGGGAGGTGGATCCTCCCCTTCTCGCCCTCTGGGGGCGGGGGGCAACAAAAAGATTGTTGTTGCCCTCCGTGCTCGTATACACGTCCATCGCTGTGTCCGTGTCCATGGTCAGAGTCCTTGCACTTGCCGTTACCGTCGCCAGTTCATCCCGTCCGTATATGTTTGGTTTTTGTTTTTGAGTTTCATCCATACTTGGTCCCACGAGTGGGTCGGTCCGTGGGTCCACCCGGGCAGAGCCGCCTTACCCGGGTAAGGCTGATACACCCGGGGGGTCGCCAGGTACCCCGGGGTTGGCCGCTACCGACTGATGCACCCATCAGCCACCCCTGGCGCTAACTCCAGGGGCACCCTCCTCACCGCGCACCGCAGCTTGGGGCTAGGGATTTTTTATAGAGGTTGTCATCCTCACGGGCCGGTCAATGAAGACGAGCCCCCCGTTCCAGCGAAACGTGACCACTGGTTTACGGTATAATTGCTAGGGCACTCCGGGTTCGCTACCCGCACCAGACCGCCACGCAGCCTGGCCCCTGGAGAACTCAACGACGCAGCCGCCACCTTTTCGCCTCTCCGACCCAGGCCTTGCCGGCAAGGGAGGCCCTGCCAGGATCCGAAGATCCCACCGGCATCGCCCCGGGTCATCTGCGAGGCTACTCCGACAGCAGCAAGCGCCCCCCTTTTAGTCGCCTCCTACGACAGGCAGGGGTTACCGTGCCTGTATTCTATCCCCCAGTCACAGGGGAGGTTTTTGATGGGTTTTTCCTTCCCTTGGTGTTTGGTCCGCGGGAGCTATTTTATTTCACTCCTACCCTCCATGCACTCCGAAAAGTGCATGGCGAGCATTCCCCTATCCGCCACCTGGGGACGCGCCACGTCGGGGTATCACCTCCCCGCCCAGCCAGTACACTTGGCCAGGTCCGTGGAACCCTAACCTAACCTAACCTAACCTAACCTAACCTAACCCCCTTAACCCAAACCCCTAACCCTAACCCCCCCCCCTTAACCTTAACCCGTAACCCCCTTAACCCTAACCCTAACCCCCCCTTAATCCTAACCCCTAACCGTAACCCTAACCCCCCCCCCTTAACCTTAACCCCTAACCCTAACCCTAACCCTAACCCTAACCCCCCTTAACCCTAACCCCTAACCCTAACCCTATCCCTAAACCTAACCGCCTTAACCCCAACCTAACCCTATCATGCTAGGTGTGTATGTGCCCTAGCATGTTAGGTTAGGTTAGGTTAGGTTAGGGTTAGGTTAGGTTAGGTTAGGTTAGGTTGCTTTTACTCGGCCCGGTTTTCAGTCTTAGGTGACGTAGTTTTCGGTGACGCGTGTTTACTCTCCCCTTCTCCGGGCATTGTGCAAACTTGTGCATTATTTACTCGTCTGTGATCTGTGATGTGAAGTGATAACTAAATTAATTACTGAATTCTGCTATTTAAGTTTAAATGAAAATTTAATCGATGCAAAGGTGATTGTGGTGAAAATGCGCGCTCCACCATGATGCATTGTGTTCCATTGCAGTGTATGTGTTTAAAAGTGGTGCTATTTACTCCGTTTTGTGCAAATTATAATATATTATATTATATTATTTATTTTATATTATGGTCATATCTATATTTATATTTATATTTATATTTATATTTATATTTATATTTATATTTATATTCATGTTTATTACATTCAATTACCTTCTACCTCCGTTCAATTCAATCTATGTATTGAATAAAGTATTGAATATGTTATATTACTATATTATTATCTCAGATTATCTCAGATTTTGGATTATATTCAGTCATTTCAGTCATTTCAGTTACATTAGGTTATACTTAGGCAGTATTTTGCGCTACACTGTAAACTGTACTGTATTGTATTATATGACTCCCTATCTCCTATTCTTTATATTACTATAATTGAGTGAATAAACAAATGGGGTGATTAGCGGTGACATATGGTATATTGAATAAATTAGGTTAAATTAATTAAATGACTTTATAAGTGCTTGTTTTATTTTATTTCACCATACCTGCCGTATTTACATATTTACATTATTATGTGATGACATATGTCTATATGCCTTAGTGTAGTTTAATTGGCCTTATTGCATGCTGAACATAATGGATTCAATGGAATTCACTAGAATCTATTAGAATTTGGTAGAGTTTGGTTTATACGGATTTGTTGTTTGAATGCATATATTATGTACGTTTCATTGTGCTGCGTTACCTTCATATATATTTTAAGGACAGTTTGATCCTGCGTTTTCTGTTGCATTGTGTTATGAGATGACTTATGAGATGACTTAGGTGTCACTATTATGCTGTGTCTTGACTATATTAATCCATATACAAATTATATATTACAAATTTACATCTACTTAGTTCGGCTTTGACAATACTGTATGTATAATTTTGCACTTTCTTCTACCCATTTTGATATGGCTCAGTTGTTAATAAAGTAAGTGAGCGCAGCAATGTTTGTTTATACTTTGATAAGAATTGTTATTGCTCAGGGCGCCCTAATGGAATACTCCTTTTTCCTTTTGACACTTTTGTTTGATTATCGGTTTACTTCATTGCTTATTTATTTAGTTATTACTCAATGCAGCAGAGCTCAACGCAGTGTTGTGTGGTTAATTTAGTTTGGGTGTTGATTGTGTGTGCTAACATTTACTATTATACTTCCCTAACTAACTTTTCTTTCTTTTCTACTCTTTCTGCTACAGCTGCCTGTTTTACCACTCTTGCCAACAGCAATTTTTACTTCTACATTATCTTACTCATGCGATAGGATTGGAGTCTGAGTCTGTTTCTTACACTTTCGTTCTACACCTGGGTAGGGAACGGCTACTCTATGTGCCTGTTTTCTTCATGGGTATTCTGCATGCCTCCTTTACTTGCTTGGGTTGCCCGGACTTCGATGCTATAATGTTTGGGAGCGGTGTGTGTGTGTCTGGAGTACGTATGGGACAAGTCATCGAGGGTCGCAGCGTACCAAGACATGGCGCGGTCAACCGGGGAAAGGATTTCCCGGTTCCTGACCGTGGTCGAAGAACAAGCCCTGTGCTCACATAATGCCAGGCGGAACACATGGCGCGATCACCCGATGAGTGGGAAAGTCCTCCGGTTCCTGATCGTGACCGAAGAGAAAGTCCTGGCCTCGCTAATGGCAGGCAGGTGAAGTAGGGGCGCGATCACCCGTTGAGCAGGAGCTCCGGTTCCTGGTCGTGGCCGAAAAAGAAGCCCTGTCTTCGCATTGCAAGCAGGTGAAGTAGGGGCGCGATCACCCGATGAGTGGGAAAGTCCTCCGGTTCCTGATCGTTGCCGAAGAGAAAGTTTCCTGGCCTCGCTAATGGCAGGCAGGTGAAGTAGGGGCGCGATCACCCGTTGAGCAGGAGCTCCGGTTCCTGGTCGTGGCCGAAGAGAAAGCTTCCTGACCTCGCTTATGGCAGGCTGGTGAAGACACGGCCCGATCACCCGATGAGTGGGAAAGTCCTCCGGTGCCGATCGTGGTTGAAGAAAAATGGCCTGTCCTCGTGGAAGGTCAGGTGGGCGTGATGACTTCAAGGATAAGCCACATCATCATTATCAACCTACCATGGTGGACGAAGATTGGTCGGTCACCCGCGTGATATGATATCCCGGTCCTGATTGCGACTGAAGAAGAAGCCCTGTCCTGGGTAGTGCCAGGCAGGTGAAATTTGGCGCGGCCACCCGTTGAGTGGGAAAGTCCTCCGGTTCCTGGTCGTGGCCGAAGAGGAAGCTCCTGACCTCGCTAATGGCAGGCAGGTGAAGTAGGGGCGCGATCACCCGATGAGTGGGAAAGTCCTCCGGTTCCTGATCGTGGCCGAAGAGAAAGTTTCCTGGCCTCGCTAATGGCAGGCAGGTGAAGTAGGGGCGCGATCACCCGTTGAGCAGGAGCTCCGGTTCCTGGTCGTGGCCGCAGAAAAATCCTGCGCATAAACCGTGCAGGTTAAAATATCCTACCGCTTGATCGGAGGTGTTACGGCGTGGCTCCTCAATCCCCTGTGGTGCCTAGCGCATAGCGGATTGAGGGTAGACGAAAGCGAACATGAAAGCTTGGGAGCTAAAGCGCCGTCGCGGCTATCGCCGGTACAACTGGGATATCCTCAACGGATGAAAGGGTACCGGCGGCCTACGTCAGGGGAGAGGTTTTTAGTGGGTAGTATATCAGGCCGCGGATGCCCCTTCTGGGCGCCGCAGGGTCGCCCCTTCCGGGCTGTGACCGTTATCATTTGTGCCCACCCTTTAGGGTTGGGCTATCAGGTTGCCCCTTCTGGGTTGCCTCTTTGGGTTTGCCCTCACCAACGGGAGCCAGGCCCCCCTTCAGGGGATATGAGTCCCACACTGCCCGGGCCCCCTCTAGCCGAATAGTGCGACAAGGGGATAACCTGCGCGTGCGTAAAAGCATTTTCCTCTTCTATCAAAACAAAAAAAAAAAAAAAAAAAAAAAGGGTTAGGGTTAGACTTAGGGGTTAGGGTTAAGGGGGGTTAGGGTTAGGGTTAGGGTTAGGGTTAGGGGTTAAGATTAAGGGGGGGGGGGTTAGGGTTACGGTTAGGGGTTAGGATTAAGGGGAGGGTTAGGGTTAGGGTTAAGGGGGTTAGGGGTTAAGGTTAAGCGGGGGGGGGTTAGGGTTAGGGTTAGGGTTAGGGGTTTGGGTTAAGGGGGTTAGGGTTAGGGTTAGGGGTTAGGGTTAAGGGGGGTTAGGGGTTAAGGTTAAGGGGGGGGGGGGTTAGGGTTACGGTTAGGGGTTAGGATTAAGGGGGGGTTAGGGTTAGGGTTAAGGGGGTTAGGGGTTAAGGTTAAGGGGGGGGGTTAGGGTTAGGGGTTTGGGTTAAGGGGGTTAGGGTTAGGGTTAGGGGTTAGGGTTAAGGGGGTTAGGGTTGCGGTTAGGGTTAGGGTTAGGGTTAGAGTTAGGGGTTAGGGTTAAGGGGGTTAGGGTTAGGGTTAGGGTTAGGGATAGGGTTGGGGTTAGGGTTAGGGTTGGGGTTGGGGTTGGGGTTGGGGTTGGGGTTGGGGTTGGGGTTAGGGTTGGGGTTAGGGTTAGGGTTAGGGTTAGGTTTAGGGTTAGGGAGTTAGGCGAAGGGGTTAGGGTTAGGTTTAGGGTTAGGGAGTTAGGCGAAGGGGTTAGGGTGAGGGGAAGGGGGTAGGGTTAGGGTGCGTGTCCTAACCCTAACACTAACCCCTTCCCCTAACCCTAGCATGCTACGGCACATACACACCTAGCATGCTAAGGTTAGGGTTAGGCGTAGGGGGTTAGGGTTAGGGGGTTAGGCGAAGTGTTAGGGTGAGGGGAAGGGGTTAGAGTTAGGGTACGTGTCCTAACCCTAACATGCTAGGGCACATACACACCTACCATGCTAGGGTTAGGGTTAGGCGAAGGGGTTAGTGTGAGAGTTAGGACACTCAAAGGAAATAAGATAAAACAAGTAAAAATATTACACCAAGCAATCAAACTTACATATAAATAGTCGATCGGAGACTTGGAATACTTCCAACCGCACTATAATTGCAAAAATAACATATTTATAGGTAATAAGTAACAACGGTCGGAAACGAAACGGGTAGCCATGACAGTAGGCTTAGTCATGGAATATAAAATATATTGAATAAATGTGGCATCTTATTTCGACAAAGGTATATACAAATTGAATAGAGAATTTACAAGAGTGCTAGCAGAGAGCAAATAAGCGCCGTTAATTATATAAATTCAGCCCGCTGCTTTTGATGGTGGCCGTGAACATGTGGGTGATCGAAGCGTGGTTGGCGGCTCGCGTGTACAATGAATTAATCCTGTAATTGATCCGGTCGCTTGCACTGTTGCTGCGGATCTTGAGCGTTTCACCGGCCGTTCGATGGTCCATATTTTTCGTCTGAACTGCACTTAAACTAACTATATTCAATAATCCAGTGAACACGATTCCGAGCTTGATGAATCGATGCTCGATAATGGCGTCGTTGCGCGCGAGCCGGCCAACCTAACCTAACCCTAACCTAACCTAACCTAACCTTTGAAACCAAAGCCGACACCGCGACTGGTTTGGATTTCGATCTCTCTTGCTTTTCGCCAACTTATAACATCCATTTTAGCAAGTAATTATAATTGAAACTATATCGTGTTTGGTACCACTTTACTCACAAAAATCTCACCAATGCGCTAGTAAAAGTTTCACTCAAAAAAAGTCAAAAATAAAATAGTTTTTTGATTCAATTAGTATTAGTCACACCGATACGTTTCGGCTCTTTCCTTTGATTTCGGACCTCTCTCTTTCCACCACTGTCTGTCCCTTTCAACGTTCACGCTTGGCTGGTCGTCGCGTGTCATCCGAGCTTCGATACCGTGCTTAGGTAAACGCAACCACTGGGTCCCAATCTTGGTTGAATTTATCCAGGTTTTACTGTATATAGATTACAAAATATGAAAATCAACTACGGATATCGGAAAAAGACTAGGTTAAATTGAACGCTATTTGTTACATATATGTTAGATTCGAACGACGACGAGACGCTTGGATTTTAGTAAATGAATTCCTTTAATGGAATCTATCGCGATTTGATTATTTTTCAAATGAGGGAATGAACCTAGGGGAATGCTTTCAGGACCAGACGGTCTCGTAGGTCGTCCCTCGGTTTTATAATTGAAAATTGCATGTACGAAACACAAAACGATAGTCGATACCCGAACTGATGTGGAACGATCTAAAGGAATTCTTCCAAAACCACGGTTACATAGATCGCCCGTTTTGCCTCACGTGAACCAGATTGTCGTATTAACAGAATAGAATAAACAACTCACCGATGTTAAATAATATATGATAATCATTTATAATAGCTTTGATGAATTCGCTGGATGTCTGGAAATCTGGAAAACGAAGAAGGATGAGAACCTTGCCACACGCGCACTACGCGATCACGATCGGCCTTTATTAGACAATAATTGACGATACGAAATTACAACGCGACGCAAGGAAAGAAAATATGTATAATTAATTAACGGAACGATTTAAAATTGAAAGAGAAACGATAGAATAATGAAAAGTATGAAAATTTTAACGTATACGTATGAGTCTTTGCCGCGAAACACGAATTATCACAATCTCGACACTCTGCCTACACGTGGACTTGCCGAGCAGATTAATTACGCGAATTCGTCGACAACTCTGTCTTCAACGCGAACACAGAAATCTCCCTGTCACAGATACCTACGATTTTTCGACGAAGAGTGATTTGCTTCAGTTTGCGATCTAGTCTCAGGATTCGACTTGCGATCGGTACCCCGCGTGGGGACATCATTTGGCAAATCATAGTACGCGTCGAAGGAGAAGGCCCACTCGTGATTGGTTCGTCGTGGCGTGCTACCCGAATTCTCATCCCTCCTTGACTTCGTTTTCCTACTCTGTCTCTAGTTGTCTATTCTTTTCTAATTCTAACAACGGTTTTCCTTCGTCGCAAATTCTCTGGAATGTTCGAATTCCATACAGATTTTTATTAAAATTCTTTTATTAAGACATTTTAAGCGACGCGGCTGGTATAATTTACATTCCAGTGATGACAGATTGCACTGGTCAACGAAAGGGTTATTTCGCGGTGTTCTATTTCGCGACAATCAATTCATTACCGGTTATTCGGCAGTAACTATTTGTTGTTAACATTATTAAGGTTTAACGTGGGTTTACGCCATACAGAGAGCGATGTTTCATAACAAATCGCTAGTTAATAATTTTTCTGCAACAATTCATGCATTCCAATGCGGGTCTTTATGCGTTATTCATTCCGTTATTAATCGTTTATTCTGGAATATCCTTTTGCTCGAACATTTGGCAAGATTTTCGTTGCCAGGTAAATTGTTACAATACATGTTTATTGCCCTATTCGACCCTTATTCTAAACGTTCATGAACGTTCGTCGACGTTTGTCAGGCTCTCAGCGGTTGTCATCCAAACCTTTCACTTAATAAACAACCATTCCTTCTTTAATGCATTCAAATCGAATCGCTTTTATAATTTTTATCCGACTTCGAAAAGGAGGAGGATACTCAATTCGATGTGTATGTAATATTTTTTTTTTTTTTTTTTTTTTTTTTTCTTTTATGTATGTTCACCGATTACGCCGAGACGGATGGACCAATTGGAACGATACTTTTTGCGTCTTGTATAGTATAACTCCCCATTGGTCCCGTAAAAAATATATTTTGCATTTTTTCATTCCTAACGAACTTATTTTCTAAATGTATGTTCGCCGATTACTTCAAGACGGTTGAACCAATCGGAACACAACTTTTTGCATCTTCTAAAGTATGTGTCCCAATTGGTCCCGTTAAAAAAACATTTAAAATTTTTCAATTTCATATGTGCTTGATTTATATTTTTCACCGATTACCGCGAGACGGATAAACCGAGCGGATCGAAAATTTTGCATCTTGTAGAGAATATCTCCCGATTGGTCCCGCAAAACAATATTTGTGTTTTTTCATTCCTAACGACTTTTATCGCAAAAAACGTAATACTTCGTTTATATCTTCCGGCGTTTATGCTGTAGAGAATGTATCGAATGCGATGATCCCACTTGCAAAAATTTATGGAATTTGTTAATAACTACTGTTATAGCAAAAAATCTATTCCTTCATGTTACTCTGTAGCGAATGTATCGTTCGCGATGAAACCTTTCATATATAGTA